GGAGGGAGGGAGGGAGGGAGGGAGGGAGGGATGGGGACTTTCAGGTAAGTGTATATAGGATTGCAGTGGTATAGTGAGCCATGATCCACAGGAATGCAGCACCAATACTAGTTTATTAGAATGGAAAATGAAGCAATTTGCCCAGCACTCCTTTGTTGCCTCTGGGCTTAGCTGCAGTTTTTGCAGTAGCTGTGGAAATTAATTCTCCCATCAACAATATATTATTCCCTATTTTAATGAAAAGTATCTGTGGGTGTCCTGGTCTTAAGACCCATTAACTCTACAAACCCCATTTAAACTGGTTTGCTGGTATGGATCATTCTGTTTGTCTGAATACTTAGACTCTCCTTAAGGGATGCCTCTGGAGATGGCTATGACGAGCACATGCTGTAGGCAACCTGCCTTCAAGTCCCCAGTCAGCCATGGAGACAACAGACTCTCAGCCCAACCTACCTCACAGGGTTGCTATTGTGGGGTAACATGAAAGCAGAAGGAGGAGATTGGTGTAAGCCACTTTACATTCATAAGAAATAAGTGTCATATAAATCTAATAAATACATATGCTATGATGCCACTCAGTCCAAAATATCTATTTTGGTCCTGCAATGAATTTATTTATTTGGTATTCTATGTTACTTATTTATTATTTTTATGTCCTGTCTTCTTTTCCTGCAAAATCTCTAGTGCACAATCTACCAGAAGCTTCTCTTCTGTAAGCTACGAAATGTAGGAAAACTACACAAGAGCCTAATAAAGACAAAGAACACACATAATGACAAGAGTTCTCGAGAATTTTTGGTTGATCTCCCTATGCCAATATCAAAATTTAGCAGGAGAATAAATCAGCACAAAGAAGAGGGCTGCTAGCATCTCCAAGTGTCTGTGGACTTGATCTTGGCTCTGCTCACTTCCTATGCCAGGGCTGATCACAGGAAAGAACAGCAAGTTCAAGAGAGATAGATTCTGGACATTTCTTTGCATCACTGATATCACTTAAACATATGCTTCAGCAATATTATTATTATTATTATTATTATTATTATTATTATTATTATTATAACATTTCTATGCCGCCCCTTGCCGAAACCTCGGGGCGGCTTACAACATGACCTATATAGAAGTGGTATTAAACATATGCTTCAGCAATAAACATTATGCTTCAGCAATAAACATATGCTTCAGCAATACCTATACATTCAGAAGTGGATTCTCTATGTCATCCATTCAAATGATGAAAATATTGTTAGGTCTTTAGTCCAGTTCATTACAGGAAGTGAGTATGTATCCTTCCAGTGCTATAAATTAGTCTTTAGATGTTGAAAGGGCATGGAAAATCCATGCAATAACTTCCAGGAAACAGGCAGATAATTTAAAAGAGTGTGTGGATCTCAAGTGCATTAAAATATTAAAGAGTGTCCAGTTCAAGTTTATCTGTATTATAACTTCCTTCCAAAAACAGCAAACTACAAAACTGCCAAAACATGTGAATAAAGGAAGAATCAATTAACCTTCACCAGTAAACAACTTAGACAAACCCATATTTAAATGATATGGCATCCAGTAGACACAAAAGACAAGTTTTTGCTGACTAAGATATGACTTGAGATACAATGACACTTCATATATAGATGCTAAAATGTCAATGAAATAATTAGAACACGACAGGACAGTCAAATTCTCTATTCAATTCCTGTTTAACACTTGTATTAAAACTGCCCCTTCCTGTATATCATATTTATTTACTGACAAATATTTATATACATGGATTATGAATCAATATGACTAATCATAATTAATTAGTATTTCCAATAATTATTGGAAAACCTGTAGAAACAGCAAAACAAAACCTAGATTATAACTAATATTTCAGTTGCAATTATTGCCATCCATCATAGCAGGTGAATCATCTTTGGCATAGAAATAACAAGAACTCATTATTGACTGCTAGTAATTATTTCAAAGTAAAAATCAATTTATCCATCACAACAAAAACATTTTCTCGCCAATATTTATCTCTGGATTTCACCCTGATGTCAATGTAGCATGCAATCAAAATATAAATATGAATCAAAGTATAATTGATGCAATATTTCCACCTCATTCTCTAATAGCTGCGATTCTGTAAGGAACCCTGTTTAAAACCTGATATCATTAATTTGGAAAGAGGATTCAAGCTAGATGAAGTGGCCATGCTGGGAAATATAATATAAGTAGGAAAATATCAAAGTTCAGTACAAGTCAACAAATAGGCCTGATGATACAAAACAAGATTTGGATAGCCAACTCAACTTCCTTGATGGAAAATTGTATCCTTTTCAATGATACATGTTACAAGAAGAAATTCCCCAAAATTTATAAAACAGAGAATCAGATTTTTGAAAATATTTGCCAGATATGACTAATGTATCAAATGTATCATGAACAATCTGAGGTATAATATTCATCCTAATTGCATTTACCTTACCTCACAAATTCTAGCAATGCCTAGCCATCTATAACCTGTAAGATCTTGTTCATAAATTTGTTCAAGCTTAGCTGTATCACTTGAGTTGTATCTCTGGAGATAAGTATTCTCAAATAAGTAATTATATCCATGCACAGTCAGAATTGCTTAGCTAATACACTAAGTAATATATTGTCCTTCTGGATCAATTCAGAGTTTGACCAGTAGATGCCTGAACCTGTGAAATAAATAATACGATAATTTTGTAAAGTATAATATTAAATTCTAAATCCATGAAAGTTATTATTTTGTCTAATGGCACATGCCAGGCTTCTGAACATAATCAGCTATCAATGAAGAAAGTGGACAACCCTGTTTAATAGTCCTCCAACTTCTTATTTTGTTTTCTAAAAAGTTGAAAAGGGGCTGAATATGATATTTTAAGCCTTTTCTATAACTCTAGGGGCTGCATATGATATTTTAAGCCTTTTCAAAAAATCATACTGGAAGTCAACATTATTTGATGCAGCAAAAATGAGATTCTGTCAAACTTAGTAGACATTCTCTTAAGTTCCACTGAATTTCAGAAAGGTGTTCAAACAGAGGGACCCGGCTAGTTATGTCACGTTGGCCACAGTAACTGCCCAACATTTAAAAAAAGTATTTCCTTTGGTTAAACTGAGACTATGAGAGCAACAGAGATGAACCTCTGCCCCCATCCGTTGTTTCAAGCAGCAAGGAAGGGGTGAACTCATTCCGACAGTCTTTTCCAGCTCAGCCATAAACCAGCCACTTTATGCCACTTGTCACTGTCATGGGCAATATGGGGGCAATAATTGCAGCCTGTTTTAGAGCAGCGATATCATGGTACGTTTCAAAGTGCAGGAGCTCATCAAGGCTGTGTATGTGATTTTATATATATATAGAGAGAGAGAGAGTGAGAGACCAGCACACATTTTAATATTCAGTTGATTAGGATTAGCACGACCACAATCCTATGCATAGTTCTCAGCTCCCATGATCTCAATGGTCCTTACTTCTGACTGCATAAGATTAACTTGTAAAATGCATTGGATTGCATTTGCTACTATTTGAGTGGGCCTTCCTTTGCTTACCCACCCTTGCAGGCTTCCAGTTCTGCTCTGGAAAGTGCACTAACCATCCAGAGCAGTTGCAGAGGCACACAGGGGAAAAACATGTTCGCAGTGCTTTTTCATTCACTAGCTTGATTGTCAGTGTTACATAGCAATCCTTCTTTCCCGTGTTGTTGATGGAGAAGCAGACCCAACTGAGAAACTGGGATTTAAACTATATAAGAGCTTTGAGATCTTTTCTAGGTTGATGGCTCTTACTGAACTCTTTACTCCGGCTATTTTGTTCCAGCTGCGTGCTCAGGACAGTAACACATGAGGAATGCCACTGGAAATCTGGGATATTTTAGCCACAGGCTAAAGACAATCTCCTAGAATATCTTTAATATTTATATATTTGAAGCAAATCATATTGCTAGAAGAAGAAAGCAGATGAAAAACTTGAAATCTGATATAGCAAATACACATGCTATCTATTTCCATTTGTCTTGTGCTTTGTTTGCTATATATTATGGTTGATTGACTAATAAATCCTGATGGATGGATGGATGGATTGATTGAGCAGAAATCCCTAAGTATCAGCATACCTATTACTTGGATGTCTCCAGCAGTATCCCTATAGAGAATAGAAGTAAATCTCACTCACTTTGTGGATAAGTAAATGTAACTTTGTAATATAAATGTGGTGGATTTTTTAACTAGTGAAATTGAGAATTTATCTATGATATATACAGGATATTTCCTTAAAACAATTAGCAATTGTTAATGTTAATACTAGAATACAGTGTAATCTCTTGCATGTCTTCTGTGATGTAACTCATGAGCATTTACTGGAACTAAGTCTGCCCACTTAACTCATACCCACTTACCTATGAGTAAGTCTTATTGAAATCAGTGGGTGTAGTCACACTTCATGTTTACCCATCTTGGCAGTAAATCATGGAGGGAAGGCTAATTCATGTGAACAAGCCTCAGTGAGTCCCAAAAGATGATGGGGCTCACTCATTGTGGTTTGTTGCTCTCCTCCTCCCCATCCTTTCCTACCCAGGGTCATCACAGGATCAACAGAATGTCCCCCTTTTATCTCACCACCCTTTTTGATGTTGTGAAAGCTGAGTAGCCCTTCATGATCCTCATTTTAACAATTATGGTCAGTCCCTTCAAAATGCCTTTGGGGAGGCTACCTGTGGTTGCCAAAAGTCAATTTTTTTCATGCTGTGGGAAAACAAGCATGCATTAAAAATAATTACCTATAGTTGTACAATTGTGACCTTTCCCAGGTGTGCTATTGCAGGGATTTGAAGCCTTGACTGGGCAATGTCCAGAAGAGGACCTGCTGCCAGGAACAAGCAGGTACCAAGCCCAGACCTTACAAGAAGGATCTTTAAAATGTGCATTTTTAGTGGGAAATGGGGATTTGTACTGGGACAGACACAGACATGGGATAAAGTACATAATGTGCAACCTAAAGGGAGGGAACTAAGGGGAGAAGGATGTGGATCTTGCTGTAAAGGAGCTTTAAACCCTCCAAGTTCTTTTCACAGCTTAAGATCACTCAAATGTTTGCTTTTTCTTGACAGCTCACTTTCTGACAACTGTCACAAAAATCCAAAGGTAAGAAAATGTATTTTCTGGTACTATAGCTGGTACCTGCTGCGCTTGACAGAAAGCTGTCTCAGCTATGGCTTCATAGCCCCAGAGCAACACAACTGTGGAAGTTCATAGTTACACAACTAGGGTAAATGATTTTTGGGGCACTTTTTTGGCACAGGCAACATCTCCAACATGCTGCTGGGGCACTTTGAAGGGTTTGTTCTTAGCTGGTGAAATGCGATTGCAAAGGCCAGCTTGACAGACAGTTTTCACAACCCCAAAAAGGGAAGGGGAAAAGGGAAGAAAGCTGGACAAGTCTGAAACAGCTTATGGGGAGGGTGTCAACATGGCACTCAACAAAGATGATGTGTTCCTGCTGGCCAGTCAGCACCAGAAAGAGGAAGCAGTGCTGCCATGCAGGCTGCTGTAGAGAATGTGGAAGAGTGAAATCACCAGGAGAAAATGCAGCTGAACTCTGGGAAACGCAAAACCACCTTCCTCTCCAATGACTCTCCAAGGCCTCTGGTCCCTCACCATCTCTCTTCACTCTTCCACCCTCCATCAGCAGCCTCCACCGGTGACCCAGCCAACCCTGGGCTCTTCTACCACTAACATTCCCACAGGGTGACTGTCACTTCTTCCTACAAGAAGGAGAAGATAGCCTTGATGCTGACCCTGCACCAGACAGAGGAATCACATCCTAAAATGGCAACCACAATGTACTTTGACAGCCAAGCCCTCCTATCAGCTATTACATATTGTAACACATTACAAACATATTTGTATTATGTTTTATTTTATTTTTCTTATTTATGTAAGCCATCCTGAGGCTATGCAAAAGGACGGCATATAAATACTCTAAATAAATAAATAAATAAATAAATAAATAAATAAGAAAGTAATTAAGTAAGTAAGTAAGTAAGTAAATACATGGCTGAAATAGCAGTAGCTCAGTTGATAGCCAACATAAACCTTCCTCCTATGGATGTCCAACCACTGAGACATTCCCAGCTGACAAGCTCACCAAGGAAGGGGCTCAATATTTGTCTTCCCTGCCTGCTCCTATCCCCTATCCTATGCCCAAAGCTGCTATCCAACAGCTCATCTGTGACCCACCCCCAGCTCTAACATCCACAGTCTACAAACTACTCCTGGCTGTAGGAATGTCCAGTCTTGGTGAGATGGGCCCTTACGGACCCAGCTGCAGGCTGCACACTTAATGGCACTGAGGGAGTAACCCCTCCATTAACCCCACCCACCCAAGATGCTAGGAGGAAGAGCACCTGATAGAGCACTGGTTTCTCCCATGTCCTGGCCTTACAGTGCCCTGGCTTTAACTCTTCAGTGATGACATGGGCCTTAACTCCCTGGTTAGGAAAACAGCCAAGGTGCTGGCACCAATCAGCTTTCTTCGAAGAGGCTGCCTGGTCACCCTGCCTCAACTACAGCAACCCACAAGACACCTTGGAGAATTCAGTCAAGAGTGACATGACATGACATCCTAACATGGATAGCAACAAACAATAGGTTGTTGTCCTGCACAACCAGCTTTATAAGACAGGGCAATTCATTGCAGATAACAAGCCAGAGTGAGTTGACATGCAGTGTGAACTTGAACCAATGGGTTGTTAGTGGGCACCAAGCCACTAAAACAACCAATAAGTATTGTTGGGCTTACAGTGGGTTATCAAGTTATCCGAACCCAGGCAACTGACCCAGTCATGGGTTGCATGAAGTATCTAGTAAATTGCTTAATAAGAGTGGCAAAAAATCTCTTCCCACTGTGACTAAGCTAGCCTGGGCCACTGCCAGTAGCAGCTGCCTCAGCAAGACCCAAGTCAGTAATTATCACTGACTCAGTGCTCTCTGCTACAGTTGCAATTCTGTGTGTTTACCATGGCAAGATTTTCCCTGCCCCCCGCCAGTTCTTGTTTTGGTGATTCCTTCTTGCACTCCCTGAGCTGACAGCTCATGACAACCCCTGCTAAGTGTCCAAATGGCACATTGGAAGGGCTGCAAGTTCATCAACACTTTTCAATTATTTTTAAATCACAAGACATTTGCTTATTTTTGTACATTTTATTAATTATTATTTCTTTAGTTGGACTTGGTCAGGTCTGAAGCGGCAAGCCTCAAATGGGCAATGTGTTGGGAAGTTTCTGCAGTCAAAGTGCAGCAAACATCCACCATGGCATTAAAAGGTACTTTTCACTTTGGTTTCTCTTGACAGCTGTCAAAAGCTGACCTGCCAAGAGAAACCAGAGCTACAAGTAATCTTTGCTCACAAAAGGAGATAGCCAGCAGATCACCCCCTTCATGGCAAGGTTTTATTTTGAAATTGACTCTTGTCAGTTTCTTCACCCTTTCCTACCCTTTCCCACCCTTTCCCAAGATTCTAGTTGCTCAAAAAAGTGGAATAGCACAAACCACTCCTTTTATGAAAACATGTTTGACAGCTACATCTCACAATTCAGGTTCTTTTTTTAAAGGAGGTTTTGGCAAGTATACTCAGGCCTGTGTTTGTTTGTTTGTTTGTTGTTTTGACTGGGACATATGCATGAACAGGGCTTGCACTCCCAGGGAAGGCAAACAAGATTGATTCTGCTGCAGAGTATGTTGGGATGCCTGTGGGAACACTGAAAGGAATGGAGACATATTACTGTGAATTCAGTTATCCATTGTGTGCATCTTGGATTATTTCATGAAGGGCCCAACCCATGTAGCTTATTTGCAAGGAGGGTAGTCATGACACATGAACATCCCCCATCCCACCCATGACTTTCATCTGAACAGACATGTGTAGGATAGTGTTGCATAAGATTTCTTTAGAAACCATATATCAATCAAATCAGTTTGTTCTCATCAATGAATTGTTAAAGCAGATTCTAAATTGTAATAAGTTCTTTATATGTGCAATGGTTTTAATATCCTCCTCCTTCTATTTAAGCATTATATTATTTATTTGTCTATTTATAGAAATTATCTTTAAAAGGGGGGTTAATATTGTAATTATCTGTTTGTGCTGTTTTTACATGGTTTAAGTTGCCTTGAAAATTTGATTCAATTGTAAGATATAATGGACAGTTTTAAATAAATAAAGCAATGCGTATTTACTGGCCACCTTCAGGATCAGATCAGACTGCAAACCTAAGTAAAACAAATTACTATAAACATTGGTTAGAGGTAGTTTCACAGATATAAGACACAGTCTACCGAAGCTGTCAATTGCAGCCTATTTCTGAGATAACATGGGGAGAGTTGGCATGTGCTGAGAAATAACATGAATTTACTCAGGGGCAAATGCACCAAAATGAGAACGAACCCATAAGCCTTTGTTTATGTAGCATCACCTGAACATAAAGGGAGAAAAGCACCATATATTTTAAAAGCCCAGAATGGCCAACATATAGAAATGATCCAGAAGGTATAAAAAGGGGTAATAGGTGTAGATAAGCATTACTGTGTTAAGCAGCAAACATTTCATAATAAATACAACACTGAAAATATACTTCATTGGTGTACAGCATCTATTATACATTTTTACCAATAAATAAAATTTTCAGAAACTTCCTATTTTTGGGAATGTTTGTTTCAGCCTTTCCCCTGCATTGACTCCCTTCCCATGAGATGCAGCTGAGCAGCTATGTGAGCTCATCTGTGCTTTGGACCCCATGCAGATTCACCCTGGAATACTTCTGTCTTTGGTTTCACACAGACAAAGAGGCAAGGCGCTTTTGAAGTAGTCTTTGTGGCAGCAGCAAACCACAGCTGTAGAGTGTAGTTGTCCCCCACACACATTTGTCCTGGCCTCTGAGCCCAGGTCAACATCTCTGACTCAGGACATGTATTGTCTGATTCGTCCTCATTCCCCTTTCATCCCACAGGAAGTGGTGTCTTATTATGTCACAGCGACAGACACGGGTGCTTAATGCTCCCCTTGTCCATGAGCAATTTTTAGCTGGGAGGCAGAAGCAAATAGGAATCCCAGCAGGCTCATCATTAGGGCCTCCACTGCTGACTGCGCCGTTGTACAGACATGCCATGTTACGCACAAGGCCTGTCCCAATATAGACTCCGCAGGGCTTTCTCAAAACACCACAGTCTTAAAGAGCATTAAATGGAACTACCTGCTTGAGTTTGCTTTTCTGTATTGGAACCTCAGAAAACCCTCTGGGAAGTGACCCCTTTCTTGGGGTTCCTTGTGACGAAAATGCTATTTCTGAGCCAAACGGCCTTAGAAAATAGAGCAATGGATCCAGAACAATATTCCTTTGTGCAATACATTATGATTCTATCATATATTATGGGTAGCCATATACTTCTTCAAGCCAGTATTTCATCAGCCTCCCATGCCTTGTAGGAACCCCGCTGGTGATACAATGGATAGCTATAAAGCTAATGGCCTCTCTCACACTCCCACTTTGGAGGAAGAAATGAAGGGACAAATCGCACACAGTGATTCTCAGCCGTGTGCACTTGTGTGTGTGTGTTTAAAATACACATACAAAAATGAATTGTTATTTTGTGTAAATAACATAGAAATGCTGGTGTGCTGGGTGGCCTTCATTAATATTTATTTTGAGATTAATATTGATAAGCAAAAGGCGCGGCTCGATCTCTTGTCTCCCCTTTCGGTTCCTTGTTATTCAAGCAGCTTGCCATTAGATTGCATCTTCCTCTGTACCCACAGCTTTAGAAAGCTCTGGCAGGGCTCCAGCTCACTTACGCTTAAATGGACACTCAAGCTTCGACGGACACACAGCTAAATAGAGGCCAATAATTCAATACAGTATGACTGTGCTGGGGCTGCTAGTAAATCCATCAAGCAGTAAATATCATCTGAAGCCAATGCAAGCTTTTATCTTTCCAATTTTGTGTATGTCTGTGTGAAGCCTAGGCATTCAGCGAATCATGTAATTTATTCTGCAGTGCAGAGCCGGGGCTGTCTCAGACACATCATATTGACTTTTTTCCCCCATCTGTCAGGAGTAGTCAGCAGCGCGCTCCTTGCCATCCCCCTCCCCCCCCCTCGCCTGCTGCATGCAAGCGCATCACATTTCATTTACTTATTTATTTATTTCCACTCTCCAGCACGGCTGGGCGAGGACATATTTCCTCCTGAGCAACAAATGCTAAAGGGAAAGGGGTGGAGGGGAGAGAAACATCTGAATGTCATTACGGCAAGCATGTTCAACATTTGTCCAGACCAGTTTGTTAAATCAGCAAAGGCGCTTCCAAGCAACTGCATGTAATGGTTCAGGAAGGGCTCCCTACTGCAATGTTTTTATTAAGCTGCAAATATGCCCTGTTATTTTCTTTTGCTCTTTGGGTCAGCCAGGATGGCAGCACAATGTAAATAATACTGAACAGCTGGGCTTATTGAATTATGATGTGTATTTGGGTGGATATTACACATACGCAGCAATGAAATTGATACTAGTTAGAGGAGCACAAAAATTCTCCTCCCCAGTGTGTGTATATGTCTGACACTTGCACACACGCGCACAAGTGCAAGGTGATGCAGCTGAAGCCCAAGCCCTGCTCCATAGCAGTGGCTGCCTCCTTCGGGAGGGCAGATGGCAGCACCACTGACCTCATTTCCAGGGGTTAACCAGAGAGCGGAAACAAATGGTGCTTCTCCGATTTGCAAATCAAATTCATCCCCAGCCAGCCCCTGACTCTGAATTCAGATTCAGACATTAAAAGAAATAGACTTGGCAGATTTCTTTCCTTTCTCATTACTCTCTTGGATTTGTGCACCACCTGCAGAGTAATCATCCCAAATGCATTAGCTGGCAAGATGCTAGGATCGCTCGTGGGCACTAAATCCTTGCTGGAGTCCTCTCTGCCCATGGTCAGGTTCATATAAACCAGCTTTGCCCAGTCTGGTGCCATTCAGATGTGCTGTGCTGCTCACATAATGGTGCTTGCAATTTGACCCACCCAGAGGTTTCCAGGCCTCATAGTCTGACACATCTGGAGGGTGCCAGTCCCTTGCTATGTAGTTATAGATATTAGGGGGCACCGAATCCATGTCTTTTATATATTGATACACAGAGATGTGTGTGCACACATCTATCATATATTTGCTTAAGACTGTGCATGTGCTTGGTTGCTCATTCACCTTCTCTCCCCCTCCTCCACTGCTTCATACAGCCAGGCTTCCTAACCTGTTTTTACATCCTAACCAGATGTTTGCAGTACAACTTACATCATCCCCAGTAAGTATGGCTAATGGTCAGGGATAGTGGGAGCTGGTGTTCAAAACATCTGCTGGGGACCCTTCTTCTATAGCATGCGTCAGCATGAAAGGTGGCTTCCATTCAACAATGCATTCAAGTGTAAGCCACATTCAGTGGTGTGGGGCTAGGACTGGAACATGGCCAAAGTCTCGAGTCCAGATGAACAGTCAGAAAGTGACAGGTAAAGAGTACACCGGAAGCAAATTCCACTGTATGCCTGCAGTCATGATTATGCTCTGGTTCAAAGTGATTTAAAGTGAGTTTAAGATACAAAACTGCACTTGCTCAGATCCCGATGATGATGATGATGATGATGATGATTTTTACTGTTGTTCTGACATACCATGAATGCAGAAGCAACTATAAAGCATGGATTGTAAATAGAAAGGCAGAGAAGAACAATGTATGCTAGTTGTATGTTTCTCAGCTAAAGAAATTTAAAGAGGTCTTCCATAAAATCATTAAATTCACAATCTAAAATTACGTGGCACCTTCACAAAATCTGCTCATACAGTAGACAAAGAACAGAAGGATGATCAGCTTACATAGTCATTTACATACATAGTTTTCATTTACCACTGATTGTATCTTGCCATGAGTTTGGGTGCTGGGGGTCATGTACAGCACTGTTGCAAAACCAAAATAAACAGAAAGAAAATATTGTCAACTGGTAAAACTGGTCGACTGCAAGAGGATAAGTAAGCTTGCTTGAACATGTCTTTTCACTTTCTTCTGAAGTACATGAAGTCATGCTAAATAGGTGCTCCTACAATAGATGGCAGCTGTGCTGATTCCAACTTTTTAAAAAATGCATATTTAGGGTGCAACTGTATGGTTATCTAGTGGATGTTGTCGTTGTAGACATCTTTCTGTGTAAACGCATATATAGGAATGGTCCCTTAAAAAATAAAAAATAAAAAGCAAGTATATCAGCAATGAACTTGCAAGCAAACAGGTGTAAACCAACCCTTCCCCTAGCTGGGAATGATAGGGTGTGTTGTCTAACACAGGTTAATGAAGGGTACACCAGAGACACCAGTGGGGAAAGAATTACACTTAACCTCTGAGCACATTTATTTATTTACCTCCATCAGTATGCAGGGTGCAAGAGGACATGTTGTCCTGTCCCAAGGAGCTTCCAATCCAATTGTGCGGTGTGGAGACGGGTTCCTCCACCCCAGCAGTGATAGCACTGGTTAGAAGAAATTTGTATTTCCCACAGTTATGGAATTCACAGAATGAAAGTGAATTCAGATGAAATGGCCTTGATTTGGGCTAATAATTTAGCTTCCAAGCTTTCCCTGGGATGGATTGACTCCATAAAGGAAGCCACAGCCTGGAATTTACAAGAACTGAGCAAGGCTGTTATGGATGGGACATTTTGACGGGCTTTCATTTATAGGGTCACCATAAGTCAGAAACAATTTGACAGTCATAGCAACAATTTTGCTTCTTTAACTGGAAGTATGCACAGGATGGGAGCCTACGTGTACTTGTCACAAAAAGTGTTGTTATTGCCCAGCCCTAAAGAATTCTTTTGTGCTTTGATGTACCCTTCCGTTTCTGGGACTATTCAACAGGTATGATTTCTCTGCTCAGTCAGACCAACAAATGTTTTTTCTTTGGGTCTGATAGGAGACATCCAGGGCCAGAACAAGATCCTACTCTTTCCCTAAAACACACCCATAGCATTTGCACAATGTGCACAAGCCAAAGAAAGAGATTTTATGTCCGATGATAATGCAAAAATGTGTGTTTTTTAAAAAAGTTTCTCTGTTTTACAATGTATCTTAATGGAAATCATCTTCTGTGCTTTCCTGGAAGCAAAAGACTAATATCTTGTCCATGGTAGAAAAGTCAAATACAATAAAAGCTCCCATTTATCACTTCCCCTTTCAGAGCATAAGAGAAACAGAAAAAAACAAGCACACACAGAAATTATCTCACAGTCACATAGACACACATTGCAGAAAGGGACACAGGCTGCCTCATTCAGATGTGAATGTCAACAGGACAAAAGATACACAACAACATACACACACAGGCAGGGCTGTTCCAAGTTGCCTGAGATGAATCATCAAATGATCCTCTTGCCTCACAAATGAACTAAGGCCATTCACTGCCTTTCAGTCTAATCTACCTCTTGGGGTACTTGTAAGAATGGAGAGCATTTTAGTTCCTCCAGGAAAAACATTAAGTAGACTTTGTCCTAGCCTAGCAGTTCAGATCATATTTTGAAATACAACCTGGTTGGATCCAGTATTGCGGCTTTTGCTTTCCATGTGCGTGTGTGCATGTATGCACAATCCAAAATGAAACAATCCAAAATGAAACAAGAATAGTACCAGAATATGCCACTCCTAGATCAGAAGGAAGTCTGGCAGCGTGACTGAGAGGAGTGAAGGACAAGTGCCAATTGCACTGTTGCTAATGATGCAGCTAGATCAAAGATGACAGGAAGTCTAATGGTTGATGTGCACAGAGTTGAAATCTGATGCTGATACATACAACTAAAACATGGATTGTGAGAAGTATGAATCAAGGAAAACTGGACACTATAAAGCAGGCAAAGTGGTGTTTAAACCTTGCAGAACTTGGTGTGAATGATCAAATATGAGAAGGATTCTGTAAAGGAAGCCACAGTTTACAAGTTCCACAGTCTTGAGTTTACAAGAGCTGAGCAGAGCTGTCAAGGACATGATACTTTGGAGCATCCATTCATAGGGTGGCTATAATTTTGAGACACAACAATGTTTATCTCTCTGTGTGTAGAATTTACCAGAAACAACAAATATTGTCTTGGTGTATTATGACTATGATGGGTAAACTTACCCACACTGAGTTCATTACTAACGTGAAAAAATAATGAACTCACCGGTATAAGTTTGAGTAACGATTTTCCCTCCATATTTCATGTAAATGAGCTTTTGCACATGTACAATATCAACCTACATTTTCTGGTTTGGAATCATGTAGAGCAAGAGCTGTGATGCTGGTTGCAATGAGAAGGGAACCTGATAAGAAAATTATGGGAAAGGTGGCATATAATTCACATAATTCACATCAATTCTAAAATTTGGCTGATGTTTCCTTTCATTTTTGTCCACATTTATCTGTTCTTCTTGTGCTGTTCTTTTTGGGCTTATTGCATGACAAGCAATATGGTATTTTCCCTTCTTTGTCTCAAGAAAATATTGGACCACATGTTCCCTTACCACTTGACCCAATCTCTGATGCCACTTGCTGAAACTTATCTCTGGATTCTCTCACTGTCTGTGGGTAGCTCCCCATCTTGGAAACCTCCTATCCAGAGATATTGACTGGATGTCCATGCTGATGTCTTTCAGTCACTAGATAAGGATGACTTGCATTTCCCCAGGTATTTTCCCCAGTATACTTGTTTTATTATCTTTGGATTGTTCAAATAGGATGTCGGGTTCTATGATTGCTATATTTTTGCTACTTTGTCTTATTCTGGTTTCATTGCATCCTGATCATGATGTTCTATTTTGTATTGGCCTTGAGAACTCCAATGTTTGAATGCGTGGGATAAATTTATAAAATGATTAGATAAATAAAATTGCCTTGTGGTGGGACCTGAAACAAAGAAAGACCACATCATCTGTTCTTCCAACACAGCAGCTCTTTAAGAAAGGGATACTGAAGGCAGGAGTGCTCAGTCTTGGCTTGCTAATAGTCTCACTTGCCACAGATTAGCTGGAAGCACTGAGAGTAATACAGCAGCAGATCTCAGCACATTATTCTGTCTTCAAGTAGGATAGAATTCCTTGGGGAAAGGACAGGGTGAGGAAAATAATAAACAAACAGGACACATGAGCAGCTTCAGTGTACTAATTTATGTTGCCAAACTTTGAACATCTTGATCATCACACACATTTCAATCATCCTCTAAATCAATATCCATCACTATCCATATTCCCTCTTCATACTCTCCTTTGATTTGCAATGTGAATTTAATTTGCTCACAACATATGAATGAATCCTTTTGAAAGGATCCGTTCCCTTGACTTGAAAAAACACCCTCACCCTTATTATGTAAATAAAGAATATTATGAGCTCATGTGCCTATTTTGTATCTATTTCCCAGGCATTTGCACATTTTCTAGTAGCTGAAGCTGACTTGAACCTTTTCCAATAATATGAAATTTATGTTATGTCCTTTGATGTGTCCTTTGAAAAAGCAATCATGAACCTAGCTGTTGTGGGAAGAAAAGCCCTCTGAATGCAACCATTTTGAGTGGGAACACTTGTACTGTGAGCAACAAAACAATTAACCAAATATTAAAACATCACCTTATAGCTTTTTAGGCATGGAAGGGGGCACTGGACCTGCCCCTGGTTAGTGGCTTAAAGAAAGTCACAACCTACAATTCACTTTGTAATTCTTTACATCCATTCACACAGCAAAGACACTGAATCCTTTTCAGCCCAAGAGCTGAATTCCATTGTGGAGAAACTTTCAGGACTCAATTTCAGTAGTGGCCAGGGATGAAGACAAATTGTGTAAGGCCGTAACATAGCCCAAATCCTCCTGCTACACCACATATTTTAGCTTAAACCTGCTTCAGCCAGTAATTACCTTTACAAGCATCTGAACCTTTGAGAATGGAGACAAACTGCACAAAAGCTGGGAAACAATCAAGCCATTGAAGGCTGGGGAAAATGGGTTCTGACTGCCCAGGAAGTAGTTATTATTGCTGCTGTTGATTTCAACATTTTTATACCACCACCCCCACATCTGAAAATTTCTGAGCAGTTTACAACAATCCATTAAAAAGAACAATAAAAAATGCAGAAAAAAACATCAATCAGAAAAATCATTAAGAAGTTTTAAACAGCTAAAAACAGACAATAGCAGAGAATGCTTGAATGTCACATATCTAGTTAGTCTGCCAGCGCTGTTGGAAACAGCCCGTCAAATTGCTCCACCAACTAAGAACAGCCAGGCACCCTACCGCCCAACCACACACACAGAATTGAGAAACAGCTACCAGTCTGTGAATCCTTTCTGTTTCCAGGCTTAGTTAGTTTTCCTGCACTGAGGAATGAATTTATACTCTAGGCCTGAGATGTGCATCCCTGATAGATAGTCCTTCCT